CATTGGTGTACATGCATCTCAGCTCCTTCCCACAGATCCCTTTCTTTGATACCCCTGGCTGCCTCCTTCCTTCCATGTTCCCTGATACCATGTTTGTAGGAGTCCTGCCAGCCCCACCTAGTGCATCTCCTAACTAATATCAGGGAGGTCGAAATCTCCCATTATAAGTATGTTCCTCCCCTGGATATCTTTCCAATCTGATCTATCAGAGCACCATCCAGAGTCTCAAGTGTACCTTGTGGGTGATAATGTATTGCTATCAAGTCCCTGCCCCGTCTAGACCCATCAATCCTACCCTGATCACCTCTCTAGAAGGGGATCGCCTGGTCCCCTTCTATCCTGCCCCCGCAACTCTTTGCATCATATCCCTTCCTTAACATATAGTGCTACACCCCCTCTCTTCTTTCCCTTCCTGTCCCTCCTTCACAGAGCATATCCTTCTATGCTGACATTCCAAATCTGCTTATCATCCCACGATGTTTCTGTGATTCCCACCAGGTCATACCTGCCTATTCCCAGAAGAGCCTCAAGCTCTTTCTTCCCATTCTCCTAACACTGGTCTACATACATCACAGCACTTTCCTGCAAGCCCCATTCTCTAGCTCCCCCAGCCTCCTCCTTCCTCCTCCCTGGCACAGCACGAATCCTCAGTGCAGTAGCCATGCCAGCTCCTATATCGCCCTGCCCGAGACCCTGATCTTGTTCCTTCACCTGACTGATTTTGACTGGTTTCTGTTTAAAGCCCTCCAGATGAAGCTTGCTAGAGCATTCTTGAAGGTCCTTTTCCCCATCCTGGTGAGGTGCACCCCATCCCTCACCAGAAATCCCTTGGCAAGGAACCATTTGCCAGGGTTGAGGAACCTGAAGTATTTCTTCCAATGCCAGCTAGTCATTCATCTCTCCTCAACCCTCCTCTCCTTGGTTGGCCCATGTCCACAGACCAGCAAGAGTGAAGAAAAGACCACCTGAACCTTCAGTCCCTCGAGTCTCTTGCCCAAAGCCTCAAAGTCCTGATCTATCCTACTGAGCCCCTGCCTGGTTGTGTCATTTGTCCCAATGTGCATCACCAGAAGTGACTGATGACCCCACAGGGGAAGAAGACACACCAGCCCATCCATCATACTAACAGACAGCAGACTTCCATTGCCTCAAGGTTTGGCTGGCACAGCACCACCTTGGTAGTCCTTACTAATGAGTTCAGTTCCTGAGAAAATTGAAATTCAGCTGTAAGTCAAATATGTATGTAAGATGGATCACATATTGTTGGGCCTCCACATTCATGGAAGTTAGGGGCACAGGACCCCCATGAAAGTGGGAAAACTGCTAATATCTCATACTCCACCCACCCAAACTCACCAGTGCCTCCTCTTTGCAGGAAGGAAATGCTGGGGAGATTTCCCTCTGGATGGGTGGGGCAGGAAGGCATGCTTTGGAGGTCTTCCTCTCTACTCTTTTACTTTCTCGCTCTCAATAGTGATTTTTTGGAGGTTTCCTTTTCTACCCCTTCACTACATCTCTATGGTGATACTTGAGAGGCCTTCCCTCTTTCTCCTTTCACTTGCTATCTCTATGGTGATGACAATTTTTCACAGTAATTTAAAAAACTTAATACAGCAGATTGGACATGTGTCACTTGGAGACTGCCTATGACAGTTAAACACACAAAAACAAATACGCAGTTTTCCATCACATATATCTAAACCACCATAGGATAAGACAGTGCACCACAGAAACTATGTCAAGGTTACAGAGTGTATACTAGTAAGAAGGGAATTCAGGGGTTTAATTTGTTTGCAAGAGTGCTATTTAACTAACTACTTGAGAGAAAGAAACATATAGAAGTTTTTTTTTTATTTTTAGCTGTAAGAAACTTATCAGTGGCCAAAAGAGAAAGAAAGGCTGCATGCCGGGCACATACTTGACGGTCTGGGCAATTTACTGTGAAGTGCCACTTATACAAGGCCTGCCACAGAGCCATTGGTTTGAAAGGTTAATGACTGCAGCAATCATAGTTTCATTTTGTAGCAAGTGGAGATGACAGGAAGCCAGCTACAAAATGGGGTTCTCCCACTGTGGTGGCAGCTTGGCAATGATTCATCTGCAATGGTTCTGAAGACTCGGAAGCCAGAAAACACTGAGGGCAGCCTTAAAAGCCTGGAGAGTGGAGGGCCCTATTAAACCTATTTTCCAATTACAATGTAAAAACGTATTTAAATCCCCCAAAATTACTCAGCTAAAGCAACAGAGCAGTCTAAAGTGACATAAACAGTTTAAAATGCCTGGAAAAATGTTTTGACCTAGCCCCAAGTAGATTGCAATGTCAGTACTACCCATACCTTTACGGCAAAGGTGGGTAGCAGGTGACTCCCCAGATGTTTTAGCTACATCTTGCACAATCCTTAACTAATATAGCAAATGGTAAGGCATGATGGGAGTTATGGACCACAAGTTAACAAACCCTGCTCTGTATGGAGAGCTTTCCAAAGTCAGCACACCATCACAGAAAGGCCAACTGGTCCTGTAATACTGCAAATGCAATGAAGGGAAACATAGAAATGTTTGCATTCACCTTTATTTTCAGCCTGCAAAATAATCTTTGTTCCTCTACTGAAAACTTGCAACATACTAATGTCAGATCCTGATGATTGCCAAAAGCTCCAATAAAAAGAGCAGCTCAAAGAGCAGCTCACATAAGTAGAACACCAGGGCACAAGCATATAACCCCAGTGCTGTATCATCTACAATCATCTGGTTGCCAATTGAAGTCCAGGCTTCCTTTAAGGTGCTCATTCCAACATATAAAGCCCTAAACCAGGGGTCTCAAACTCAACTGACCTGGGGGCCGCTGGAAGTAGAGTCTGGGTGAGGCTGGGCCGCACCAAGTATCCCACCACCGTGGTGGTGGTGGGCCGCTCATCCCGCGTCGCTCCCGGAGGCCGGCCCAGGCGCCGCCGGCGCTTTGAAGGCCGCAGGGCCCCTCCCCCATGCCCCACCTGTCCCAGCAATTGGCCCGCGGGCCGCGAGTTTGAGACCCCTGCCCTAAACAATTTAAGACCTGCTTATCTGGTCTCCTCCCATATAAACCTGCTGACCCTATGATTATTGTCAGAGGTCCTTCTCCAGAAGCCACCTCTGAAGGATATAAGGAGGGTGGCCACTAGCATAAGGGCCATTTTGGCTGTGGAGCTCCATCTCCATGAAGGATATAAGGAGGGTGGCCACTAGCATAAGGGCCATTTTGGCTGTGGAGCTCCATCTATGGAACCAGCTTCCCAGAGAGAAACTAACTTTTAACTGCCAAGCTAAGACCTTTCTATTCCCCAGCTATTTTAATTGTTGAATTTTATTATTATTTATAAAGGCACTGTAGAATCTTATTTGATTAATGATTGTTTGTAGAATTTGTTTGTTTATTGTACTTATTTAGTTTTATTGTCTTTTGATTGTTCTTGCTGATCACTTTATGGATTGTTAATTGTAGTACTTATTATTATTAATTGCTTTTTATTTTAAATTGTGAACCATCCTCAGAGCCATTGGGCTAATTTGGTATAGTATAGAAATGTTTTAAATAACATTTAAATATTTTCCAAGTTCTTCCACATTGGGTATTTCTGATCTAACATTAACTGTACCACAGTGAAATATTCCCCTAGGAGGGAATACAACAGAATGTATTTATTTATTTGTTTTATACTCTGCCTTTTTCTTTTTTAAAGAACTCAAGGCAGCTTACATCATTCTTCTCTTCCAGCTCTCAGTCTTATCCCCACAACACAATCCTGTGAGGAAGGTTGGGCTGAGAGTCTGTGACTGGCCCAAAGTCACCTGCTGGCTCCATAGCTGAGCAGGGAGTAGAACCGAGATCACCTGAGTCCCAGACCCATGCTCTTGACCACTGCACCACAGTGGCTGTCCTAACAGCAAAGGAGAAAGGCGAAGTAAGGCTTGAAGAGAGGAAGTGGGAGAGAAAAGTAGTAGCAGTTGTGCAGAACTGTCAGGCACATTAGAAGGTCAGTTTTATTCCAAGGTCTATGGTTCAATCAGTAACGTTAAAATATTTAAGCCCCACCAAGTTCAGTAGAAGCTATTTAATAAACAACTATCCCAGAAATAATTAGACTTAAAGGTGATAAAGTATGGTTGAATTACATTCTTTGTAGTAGTTTGATTTGGGTCTTTGAAAATCAGGTCCCTGCAAAGTGTATTTTCACACCCAGTTCAGAGTGTCTGTACAGCGATTTTGTCATCTGCTCACCTTCTGCCTTCTACAGGGTTGTGACACAGGCATGACATGAGCAGTACATACAAAATACTTAATGTATGCATCGTTCATACTCTGAACTTTCACAGTATTTCTGGCAAATATGGAATTAGTGATTGATATTTCTTCCAAACTTGATAAGATTAACAGCCCAGGAACTTGAATAAATATAATGCAGTTCTTGTGACTGTCCTTGCTGCAGCAAAGCAATCATACGATTACTTTCAACTGTCATTTTCAATGATAGCATATTTTGGTGATGCCATCACTATAATCCAACATCAAAAGGTATGTGCCTTTGAGGAATTCATGATCAGTATAGAGTCACATTTGGTTTTGCTACATGGGGGTAAGATCACAAGGAAGCAACATCACAAGAAAACTAGAGATTTGCACCTTACTTTGAGACTGGCAATTTCAAATCAGTGCATCAACTCCTTAATTTCCTAGGCCCCTCCTTTCCTAGTCTGTTCTGAGTTGCTTATCCATTACCATCCAGAGACACCTCCTTCCACCCTTTCATGGTGACATCAGAGCAACTTAGCCCATCACTGCTAGAGTTATCATCACCAGCACCACCACATCTCAAACTGCACTGGTATCCTGATGCTACAACAAATTCAACTTATGCTTGCTTGGCAGCTTTACAGAAGTGATCTGCATAAGAATCTTGTCCACCAATTCACATGAACTTGATGTTACTTGAGCTCATGACAAGATCAACAAGATCACTTACATTTTTGAACCCTCTGTACAAGATCTGAAGTTCTTTCTTTGTGAATCTGCTTTGTGCTTCCAGAAGTTCAAGGGCTTCAGGTCGATGCCGCACAGTGGCCATTTCCATTTCATCTTCTACACTGTCTGTGAGACAAATCAAAAAGGAAAGTTAGCAGAAACAGCTCATATATGGAAACAGTTCTCCAAAGCATAAACGGAGGATAAATGAAGCAAAGGAATTGTGAAAGTTAACAGTACATATAAACAACAGGAATGTAAAGGCAGCACTTGACAGTAAACATAGTTCCTTGAGTTTGAAAATCTAACTCTTCAATAATATTACATACTACTACTGGGAGTGGTTGATTACAGCTACTTTTAAATTCAATTTCCAAAATGTTATTTTTAACAACATAGATCCTAGCTTTTATCCTCCCATGACTGTGGCACCTGTTCTTCAAAGTGTGAAAATGAAACACATTGTATTTTTTCCACTGAGTCTGAGTTGAAGAGGTCCATCAGCACATGTATTATTCATAAAAGGTGAAGAACTTCGATACAAACTTATTTAGGCTGTAATCCTATACATTCTTACCTAAGAGTATGTAAGAATGGAAGATATTGTTCAGTTTGCATTTTATCATGGGCTTACATAATACTGAAATGAAACTGTTATCCATCTAACTTTGTTCTCCTTCAAGTTTTGCAGCTGAGTTCTCCAATTAAAAATGCTTAAAATAACATTTAAATGTTTTCATTGAATTAAGGGCAGCAGATGTGTATGCAAACTTCTGAATAAATCAGCATAGCAGCTTCTTTCAGAGCCAGAATATCAGTGTAGGGAGAGCACAACTAGGTGATGGAGTGGATGAGGGTCCTGCAAATCCCACTGCTATTCACTCAATCATGTTTCTGCAACTGTCATGAATAGGCTCTGACCACCCTCTCCCCACAAATAGCATAGTCTTTGAAAGGTGAAAACTGCTATATAAGATTCCGAGTTATCTAGACTTGTGTATCCAAACATCAAAAAATTGTGCATCCAGGGAAACGGGAACATAAAAATAGCCCAACAGGATCAAAACAACAGCCTTCCTGATACAGAACCCCGTTTCCAGTGTGACAAACCCTACAGAAAACCCTAAAGCAAGATGTAAGGAAATTGCTCTCTCTCACTGTAGTTCTTCACAGAATCGTTTTCTGTGATTCTGGAGATAACTAGTAGTGGCTTTATCCTCCATGTGTTTGCTTAAATCCTTTGAAAGCTCTCATGGACAAATGAATTGTTCTTCAAATTATGGATAGGCAGCTTCTATGCCTAACTGGCATATGTATTTCAATGTAGGAGGTGGGGCCCTGATTTGGATTAGGATCATGGTGCTCTGACTAGGGAAGATACAAGCTTCCCCACTTTTGCATCTGAAAATTCCAGTAGAGATTATGTGTTTCCTTCTTTCAGCCCCTTTGTGGGGAGTACAGGATGGAAGTCTGGGATGAAAATTGGGAGTGGGGGAGCTTACCTCTCCAGACCTAGAGCATAAAGGTCCTGATCCAAATTAGGACTGTGCAGGCTTACACTGAAGTACATAAACCAATAAGGCATAACTTCCCTTTGCATGATTTGAAGAAAAAATAGTTTGATCCTTATTTGGTGACCATGGGGAATTTACTAGAGCTCTGTGCCAGGTTCCCATTCTAAGGAATAAATGGTGGAGATGTTAATAATATCGAGTGCCTGCACTTAAGCACTTTAAAACTATCAGCAAAAGAAAACATATCATATCACCTTTCTTCTGTTGGCACTATCAGCTAGGAAAAACAGAAACAAAAGTTGATCCTTGAGAGCCTGCTTCTATGAATTACTATAGGAATGATACAGACCCCACTCTGGCCTACCAAAAAACTCCGCCTCAAGCCTGATAAACATATATTTGGTTAAGTTTCTTCCACTAAGGGGTTAACATTATGTTGTTCAGAAATGATGTGCTGAAAGGCCATCACATAACACACACTGCATCAATTTTTGTAATGTTCTCTCATGATTCCTCTTTGTCATGCCAGCAATATACTTAAACAAGAAACAGCATTCACAGCACAGATTATTTAAGAACTCAGGGACAAAAACATCAATAAATCTACCTTGTTTCAAGAGAATAGCTGAACTTTCTATAGAAATGTAATCTGAGTCAAACAACCACTCAGAACATGGCATTAACATGGACAACACCTTGCTTGGTACTGACAGAAAGGGTGACCTAACATTACAAATGCCAAGTCTCCCTGAATCTATTTGCAAATGAGCTAATTAAATGCCAACCTTGAAAATGTAAACTTTAGGCTTTGGCCTAACTTTTGTCATTACTGAGGGCCACTGAAAACACCCAAATTTGTACTTTCTCTACCCTTGATTCAATGGGCCATATGCCTAGTTCTCATGAACAGCAGATGGAATGGACTGTACTAATTCAGACTAATGGTGAGGCCTCATCTAATGAAATGTCCCCCCAAGCCCCGGATCCCTGCACATACAAAAAAACCAGCTGCTCAGAAGCAAGATTCTAGCTTAGCCTTTTCCCTGAAACTCTAATATTCTACATCCAAGACTCTCCCCATTGCCCATAGGGAAGCATTCCATCACGAGAGCCATTGTGGTGTACTGCTTAAGAGCACAGGACTGGGACTCAAGTGATCTGGGTTCTAGACCCTGCTCAGCCATGGAGTCAACTGGGTGACTTTGAGCCAGTCACAGACTCTCAGGCCAACCTACCTCACAGGGTGGTTGTTGTGGGGACAGGATTGAGAGCAGGACAAGGAGAATTATCTAAGATACTTTTGAGTTTGTTGTAAGGAAAAACCAGGGTATAAATCTAACAGATAAAGAAATAGGACAAACTTGCAATCTGATGGTACAGTTCAATTTGAGGTTAATTATTTACTATAGTGGTACCTTGGCTCACAAACTTAATCAGTTCCACGACTCTGGTCGTGACCCAAACTGGTTGTGAGCCAAGTCAAATTTCCCCATAAGGTTCAATGTAAATAAGGTTAATCCATTCTGTAAATATTTTTTATCACAAAATTTGAAACAAAGTAACAAAGAACAACAAAGTAACAAAAGTACAGTACAGTAGAGAACACTAACCTAGGTGGGAAGTTATTGTTTGGAGGGAGAGTCCAAACGATAATTGTGCAATAGCGATCATGCTGGGGGTGGAGATGGCCACAATCATGTTTGTGCGGCAACATGGCTGTGATTGTGGTCATCGCCCAATATGGAATTCGTGAACTGGGGCAAATTTTTTCTGAAATTTCTGTTCACGACCCAATTTGGTTGTGAACTGAGGTGTTTGTGAGCCAAGGTACCACTGCATTTAAAAGGTTTAACTAGGTCTTATCCACAAGTATCACTATTAAAAATAGATAAAGTAATGTTAATTAATTGGGCCCTATCCTTCTGCATGTTAGTGCAGGCAATTTGTCTATCTACTTAAATGTTTTCTGCCCTGACTGACAGAAAGCTCCAAGGTCTCAGAGTACCTGTATCTTTTACATAAAGGAGAAAGGCAGCTGGAGGTTTTGATTTTGAGCAGGGGTCCTCAAACTTTTTCAACAGGGGGCCAGTTGACAGGTGCCAGCGGCGGGTGTGGGCCGCCAAGGCAGTGCTGGCGGGGGCACAGGCCAGTGTGGGGGCATGCGCACAAGGCAGGGATGGGGGGCATGTGGGGCGAGGCACTGGCTTGCTCACTAGGAGATGGTTTTCTCCGATTGAGTCCAAAACGATCTCCCCGTGAGGAAGCTGCCGCTGGGCGCACGCACGGCAAGGCACTGGCTTGCTCGCAAGGAGATAGTTTTCTCTGAGTGAGTTCCAAACGACCTCCTCGCGAGCAAGCTATGCACCTGGCAAGTGCAAAACCTGTGGGGCGGGCCGGTTATATGGGCATGGCAGGCTGTGAGGACCCATGATTTTGAGCAAGAAAACATCTGGAGGCAAACTCTACCCACTCAAACTTGCAGGTTCTTGCCTAAGTCTGCTTTTGGTCAAGGGAAAGATATCGGGTGATTGGATATCTGCTTTGGCCATTGTAGCTGCTTCATGATATCTGAACTTGTTTGTTGCCCCCTTCTGTCTTGTGTTCCATGAAGCCCCACTGACAGGCTTAGGAACATATATATCCTGTGGTTGGGCAGAAGTGTCAAAAAGATGCAAAACACAACTTCGTGAGATTCTCAGCTTGCACATTCATAGAAAGAAAAGTTCTGGACCCTTTTCTCTCATTTGATACAAATATATCTTGTCTTTTATTTCTTTGAAAATGAATGGTTAAAATGAATCCAATACAGTATTTATCTCTTAACACAGACAAACTGGATAGCATTATTAAAAGGAAGCTGTTGTTGTTATTGTTATCTTGCCTCATAATAAAAAGGCCCTACATACAGGGCAGAACACTCTGCATGTTTAAACAGAAAAGGCCTATAATTCCACCCATGCTGCAGCCAGGGAAGGCTGGGAATTGTAGGCCTCTTCTCTATCCAGACATCCATGGGAGAGTTTGTACGTGAAGAAGTTTATTTTCTTTCCCCTGTGCCAGGAATCTATTTCCTAGGAGATCATTCAGATACTGTAACTCCCGACTTACAACACAAAATGGTACAGACCAAGAATAATCTTATGACAAGATTCTCCTACAAGTGTAAATCGGCTCTAATTCAGTAATGTGTCATGACTGAAACATCAGGATTGCTGATGCTAGGCTAGGACTGAGCATCAGTCATTTTGGATTATAATCTCCTTATACACATTAAAATGCTTCTCTGTTCCAAAAGCTTTTTATCATCTACACATTTCAAATATTTCTAATTAGCACATACATATTAAATCTCCCTTTTCTTCTTACAAAGGAAGTGCCACACATTGATGTTCAATATTCAAGAGGCCAACAAATCTGAATTTCCAGGTCATGATAAAGAGCCTATGAACTTTTGCTAGAGAAAGCACAGGTGGGATTTGAGGGAGAAAAGAGAACTGAGGAGGAAAGAAAGTTCAATTTTTTGAAAAGGAAAGGCGAGAGAATTGTTTTGTGAAAAATCATCTTGGTAAAGCCCGCTGTTTATATGACACTGGGAGCAGATCCTTTGATTAC